TATTTTTATGATGGATTTATTTTTAATAAATATTATATTTTTTTCTATATTTTTTTTAACTGCAAAATAGAAGGATAAGATAGATCTCTGCCTTTGTTATATTGATGAATTGGGTATGAGAAAATCCAAAATAATGGCCAGAAAGGGCTGAGTCATCGTCATTTACAAAGATACGCATTTTCTATGAAATGCGGGTAAAAGCCTGGATTTGTCTTTAAAGCTTCATTGTAGATTCTATCATTTACACATTGTCCCAAGGTATTTTCATTTTGATCATTAGATTAGGAAAGCTTATTTAATTCTACAACTAACTTTAATTAATTTATTTATATATAAATATTTATACAGTGCGAACGTAATTTCAGGTTTTGATAAAGTATTTACAAAGTATAAGAAAGATTGACTGTCTAGTAAAAAATTATTAAAGTTGCTAAGACCATCTAAAATGTGTTTTCTGTTATTTGTTATTTTATGTTTTCTGTTTTATTTTTTTCCCATACCTTTTATAAATAATTTTTTTATTGTAGCGGAATTTATTCGTTTTCACAATTTATTTTTAGATTTAAAATAACACTGCATATAGAACTTTCACTGCCACTGTCAAAACCTTACTATCCAACTTTTCACAACTCGCAATGTGTTTAAATCCTGCACAGTAAAAAATGTATATGTATATTGAAAATATTTCTTGTGTCACAGGAAGTCCACTAAAATTTTTTATTTTTTTTTTTATTTTTATTATTATAAATTTTAAAAATTAACATAACTGCAAAGTTAATTTAACAAATCGTATTGTGTCAATTTTATTTTTTTAAAGTTATTTTAACCTAAGCTAATAATTAATATGATTTAAAATCTGTATAACTTAAACATAATTAAATATGTTAAATTTATTTATATTTTATTTATTTTAGACAAACAGAATTTCTTCATTTAATTATTTTAATTTGTTATTTTAACAATATTTTTTAATTAAATTTTACATTATTAATTGTGCATTTTTATTTATTTTTTTATTTTAATAAAATATTTAAATTTATATAAGAATATTGGTTATTGGGCAAAAAATGAAAGATGTAATAATATAGATTTATTAGGTATACAACATAATTAAAAAAAGGGCAAGCAATGAAGCATTGGAATTCACTAAAATTGCACAGTCCAGTACTTTTTTTGTATTCCAAAATAAAATACAAATTCTTGCCATAGGGTAAACGGTCTTTAAACATTTCTGGGCATACAAACGTTATGTAAGTAAAAAAAAACATTATCATAGCAAACTTACCTTTAAATTTTTTTAAACACACGCTAAACAAACCACACTTAACCTTACAATTAGGAACCTCTAATCGAATTAACTATCATCAACCAACTAAACGCAGTTAGAAGACAAAGGGCCTTGCAGGGTACCGATTTTAATCAAAAGAAAACGAAAATTAGCGAATTAGAAGAATAACATTTATATTTAAAAAAAAAATACTCCATTGTTTTAATTTGATTAAATACTGTATTAAATACTGTACTCAAATATTTAACAAATATTTTTGAGTTTAGGAGTTATTTAAACTAATATATTATATTGAAATTAACATGACTTTCTCGTAACATTATACTACAATGTACAAAAAAATTATTATTTAACATTCCTATTTTTGTAGGACCTTTTAACACATGATTCATGGGACATGAATGTTTGTTAAATCTTTTAAAATTTTAATATTATAATTTTTGTATTAAGTAACATATCATTAATGTTATAAACACTAGGAAGTTTATGTAAATTTTTAAATTTTTTATTTAAAACGCATTATTTTTAACACAAATTTTATAATTTCTTAACTGTGTATTTTTTACATTTTTTAATTTAAATTCTTGTGCTGCAATATATATGTATATATAAACTGAGATAAATTGAAGTTTGCCAAAAAAGTTAGTTTTTAAGTGTGCCCCCCCAGCTTCCTGCCCCCCCAAATTAAGATATTTCAAATTAAAGTGGTACAATATTTAATTCACTGAAATTTATCGAAAAATTTCAAATTTTATTAAAAAAATTCAAGAATTACAGGTTTTATACCATTTCAAATTTTTTTAATTTCTTTTACTAAATTTTAAAAAAATTAGAAATGGTATAAAGTCTGTAATACTTGAATTTTTTTAATAAAATTTGAAATTCGATAAACTTTAGTGAATTAAATATTGTACCACTTTAATTTGAATTATCTTAATTTTGGGGGGCAGGAAGCTGGGGGGCACACTTGAAAACTAACTTTTTTCGAAAAATTTATTTTAAATTCTGCTTGCGCAGAACTTGTCTATATAATGTCATTATAAACTCATATAAATTTGATATGGGTCCCATGTCTAATAACTGAGATATGGGTGTGCCCAAAATCCACCAGCCGCCACTGTCGCTATTTATGTATTAAGTATAAAATTGAAAAATTTGTAAAAGTTAAAACATTTAAATTTCAGTATGTTACTCTTATGAGAATAAAATTTTTAAAAATGTGTCTTTTCTTGAAAGTGTTATTTTTTTATTTAATTCTGTGCAATCAGAAAAATGCATATTCAAAAGTGTTACCAAAGGTTAGGCTCAAAAATAAAAAATTGTTCAATGTTGAAAATTGTACTCATAAAATGCGATTTTTGGTGTTATAATTTTGGATATACCCTGTACACTGTATCCTGTAAACACGAACAAAAATGTGATATTTAAAAAAAAAAAGTTTATGTTAAGAAGGAATTTTGAATGTCTAGGTAACATATTACCATAGAAACTATTAACCTTTTAATATATAATATTTATATTATAAAATCTTAAAAGTTCATTCAATTTTATATAATGGGACATTTTCATTTTCTTAGACTAGAAACCAGATATTTTTTGTGTAGAACATAAGTAATGAGAAAGATGGAGGCCAAAGTGCAATCCCATTTATCTTTTCCTGCTTTTCCCGAGCACCAAGAATGCGTGTTCCATTTACATTTTTTCGATGATGCTAGACATGGACCCTTGATAAATGTGTTGAATAAGGCTTGTCCATTTTCGGCAATATCCCAAAATATCGCGTTACAACCCTCTTTCAGAAAGGAGACATGGACACATTGTTGAAAAGTCTTATGCATTAAAATAGCCACCCTTACTCCCAAGTTAAAGAAAAAAAAAGGTGTAATATAAATAAAACCAAGAATTCCATAATAGTATATTATGTATCAAGTTTTATAAACGCCATTTTGGTTACGAGTTAAATTAAGCACGAGCGAAGCTTGCGAGCGAGTGTTTAATAAAAACGAGTGTCTAGAGAAGTTTATAAACGAGTTGCATACTATACTTTATCTACGACGAACACAAAACACAATTTAAAGCCAATTTTATTTGTTAAAATTTTGACATCTGTCAACTGTCACCCGAATTTAACCTCAGTTTTTCCCAATTTATAATTAAGCTTACTTCAGCCCGTGACGTAAAATGTCGAAAAGCCACTGTTGTTAACTTCAGCTTGTCAATAAAACGCCATAAAGTTACAGCTCGTCAATGTAGGAATAGATAAAAATATATTATATTTGTTTGAGTTCTAAAATGTTTTCAGTTGGTTTTGTAGACTTTTTTTTTTAAATGAACCCAAAAAAAAAATTATGTGGTGTTAAATCTGTTGATCTTGCCGGCCATTCTTGAGCACCTCTTTAACCAATCCATTTCCTGGGAAACCTTTGGTTTAACCATTCTTTGGCTGGCAAAAATATCTTAGATATTACATGCATATGGGTAATTATATTGAGATGTCCCCCAAGAGAAAATAATAATTTTTTATTTTTGGTTGTTTCACTGTTAGTCTAGAATGAGGTTTTTGGGAAGCCACCTGGTCTAGTAATAACATAACATAAGTGGTTCAGCACTAATGCAAGAATTTTAAGAAATCATACATTTTGAATATGAGAGCTTCACGAAAGATAGCTTCACGAAGGTTAGGATTTCGTATGTTTTTTTTTAAACATCCCTTTGTATATTTGAAATAAGTTATCGTATCTTTTGACACCTTAATATTTTTTTTAAATACAATTGTACATACATAAAATATTTATAAAAAAATCTGAGCTATTACACTTCACGGTGGATAGGTTTTTAAATAGCAAATTAATGAACTTAAACTTTTGAATTATAAAACAGCAACACTCGTATCTGCATATAAATTCCAACTGACCTTCAGGAATTACATGCATCTACACAGTAAAAAATTTTAAGTTGTTAAATTATGATTTGTTAATACAACAATATTTATTGCTAAAATTCATAAAATAGAGTGGTAAACTTAACAAACACATTTAACAAATAAAGTAGTAAATATAAATTTTGATAAAACAACAAATTAAATTACCAATAAGTCTATTTAGCAAAATAAATTGTAAATTAACTAATATATTTGTTAATAAATAAAAAAATATTGATAAAATCAACAACAACTAATTTGTAAATTATCCTAAATATTAGTTGTTAATACAGCAACTTCTTATGGCTAAAAAACAAATCATAAATTGTTAGTAGGGCAAATATATTTGCTAAATCAACAATAAATAACTTTTCGTAACTTAGCCGCTTGAAATTGTGAAAAAACACACTTCAAGTTGTTAAAATACAAAATTTATGTGTCAAAGATACAATTATAAGTTGACATAATAACAAATAAATTTGATAAATTTCTTTATGATTTGTTAAAATAAACAAAAAATAATTTGCAAATTTCACCAAATTTAGGTTGTTATTTTAGACATTCGAAGTTTGTAAAAAAAACAACACTTAGTTGCTAAAATACCAAATAGGTGTGCAAAATTTGGTCTAGATTTTGTAAATTAACAAAAAATGTTGCTATTTTCGAGCAGAGCGCATGCTCGGCACAAGCATGCGGCTTCATGATGACACCGTTATTCAGTGGCTGTGGTCAGTGTAAATAGGTGGGGTGTTTTTCTTTTCGTCAGTCGGCTGTAAGTATTCTAAAGCCATTATGGAGTACGGATTAACAAAATTATATTTCCGTGTTAAATATGACGAAACAGAATGGTGTTCTATATTGTCCCCTTGCTCGTATGAAGACATAATTGAAAGTGGTAAGTAAAGCAAAATATTTTTGTAGATTATCTTTATAATTTGCCAAGAAACAAAAATGGGAAAATATCTAGCATTAAGTAATAGTTTATAATGTTTTTTTCATTATTTTACTTCCGATGAGCTATTTTTTCTTTAAAACATAAATTTCTTTTAATTATTTTGGCGCGAAAGCCATCTTGATTTTCCGAACAAATACGAATCTGTGGTTGCAGAAAGAACGCAGCAAAAATACACTCACCCGCAATGTCTATAGGGATATTTAAAAAAAAATATTTTACTTGTATTAAGTATACTTATTGTTTAAGTATCCTTATTTTTTATTGATATACAAGTAAAAGAATTTTTTAAAATATCCCTAGACATTGCGGGTGTGTGTATTATAGAGGTTTACGAAGTTGTCGCGTTTATCTTTAACTAGCTACCTAGGTATCTCTAACTTGAAAAACTAAAGTTTAGTTTTTAATAATTAAAATGTAGCTTGATCGGCAAGGTTATTATTCGCGATTAAAATTCCAATTAAGGGTGTTGTGTGAAACAACTTGTTTCTTAAATAAATTTTATTTATTTAATGTTTATAAGATTATGGGGTCTGTTACAAAATGCTTATCATAAAGTTTTGTGCCACAAATAATTTAAAATTATTAAAAGGGTGTTTCATTTACATATTTCAGTAAGAAAATTATTTCCGTCCTTGGAATCAAAGGAATTTACACTCCAAGACGAATACGGGGCCAATCTTCGGGGAGATTTTTTAGAAGAATATATTAAAATTTCCTCTAGAGGAGTTCTTCTAAAAGTTAAAGAACCACGTAAGTCATTTTAACTGCGTGATAGTAATATAAATATTAAAAATACATAATATTGTGTTTTAGAACTAACAATATTAGATGAAAATTCTTCATCTACTACAACATCTACTACAACAATTTGTAGTATTTTTTCTGATGACACAGAAAGTGTTAATGGATCATTAACATCAACTTATTTGAATGTTAATAATGAAAATTCAATTTCGCCAGAGGTTAGAATTTTATTTAAATATACTATTTATTTATTTTTTTAATTTCGATAATTTTTAAATAATACGTAATATTTTAGAACTTGAAAAACTTTATTATTAAAACCCCAGGAGGTCAAGAAGTTTTTAACTATTACAATAAAAATTTAACTTTAAATGATGAATGTAGAAAAAAATTAGTAAACATTTCAGTTTTTTACATACAAAGTCTCTCTCCAAATAGCTGCATGCCGTCCAGTTTTTTAAGGGAGAGATGTGCAATTTCAATCATTGAAATTTTTCCCAATTTAAGGGATAAAGAAAGTCCTAAAGGTTATGTAAGTGAACTTTAACTATACAGTATTAAAAAAATAAAATATTGATAATTTAAAACTTTTAGGAAGCTTTTTATGATCCAGTTACGAAAAAAGGTTTTTTAACAACTAGACTAAGAACCATTTTAAGAAAAAGAAAATTAAGTAAACCGAATAAAGAGACTACTGATACCGACACTGAAAATAAATATACAGAAGTAGAAGCAGAGGAATATAAAAATGCTGTTGAATTTTTAAAAAGTTCTGAAACTTCTAATTTTGAGTTATTAAAAGAAAAACTAAAATTTTCTTTTTTGTACAGAAAAGAAAATAATATTAGAGAGCTGCCAATATTTTTTAGAATATTGGGATTGGTAAGTTTTAATCAAATTAAAATTAATTAACATGGTTTTATTTATTCTATATTTTTAGATTTCTTATGAGTTTTCTTTAATACACCCCCATATACAGGAAACCATTGTACTAGAAAAATTGGATTTTTTTTTTAAAGAAGTTTCAAAAGTTTTTGAACTTTCAATAACCTCTAATAGCAAAAAAAATGAAGAACTTGAAGCAGGTATGTTATTATAAATGTAAAATATTGGATATTAATTTAACTTTTTTATTTTTTAGATGGTTATCATGACCCTACAACAAAAGCAATTTTTTGTCTACTTTTAATGTTGCCATCAACATATAATCACAAGTCTAAATTTAAAAGGCAAAATAGTAAATCCACTCAAGATCACCTCATAGTTTTTCAAAAGGTAGTAAACAATAAATATATTTAAGCACAAAATAATAAAATTAAATTGTTTTTTAGAGTGAAGTTCCAATCAGCAAAATATTAGAAACTAGAATAAGCCAGCAGCCCTTAATTTTAGCAGTTGGACCAAACAAGGATGCCATTGAAAATTATTACATCATTTATGATAACAACATCATATCAGTGGCAATAGTAACTGGCAAGGTAGATATTCTCTATGCCCTAGACACACTGTTTAAAATATTTTTTATTTTTAATATTAAGTATCCTGAACCCCTTAAACATTTTTGGGAATTTATCCAATGCATGGTTTATAAGATTGAAAAAGGGGTCACCTTTACAAGTAGAATGAGGGAATTAAAAACTAAAATTCAAAATTTTTTAAATTAAATATATTTAAGTTATACCTAAAACAAAATTCAAAATGTTTATATGCTTTATTTGCAATGTTCAAATCTCTGAAAACACTACAATCCTAATCCAACATCTAAGAACAAACCATGCATTGTGTGAAGGGTCTTGTCTAACATTAAAATGTTGTGTTCCCAATTGTGTGGTTTCATTTAAAACTTTTTCTGGATTTAGAAAACATATTAAAAAATGTCCTTTTAAAAAACCTTTTCTTGACTCTGTGAAAGAATGTGATAATTCAATTTCAAAACAATGCAATTTATATGTTTCTTCCTCCAATTCTAATGATAATTTTAATCCTCCGGTTGACGATATAATAAAATTTGAAAGTATTATTAAAAACGAACCCAATAAGGTACCTGATAAAATGGTAGAATCCTATATATCTAAACTATATTCCCTGGGAATCCCTGACTCAACCATCCAAATAATTCTTACAAACACATGTGAATTATATGAAGTTTTGCAGGAAAATAATTTTGAAGTAAGTTCATTTGAAAATATTTTTAAAAAATTTCGTTCAAAATACATTAGAGACTCTTATTTTACAAACTTAATTGTTAAACCAGTCGAGGTTCTAATTGGTTCCCGTTTTGATCAAAGGTGGAATAAAACTACTAAACAATTTTCTCAAGTTCCTATCAATTGCTATAATGTTTATATTCCAATTTTGGATACTCTAAATTTTTTAATTAAAAATAAGTCATTTTTATCTCATATAGTAAATAATAGTAGCAGAGTATCACCAAATATTATTTCTGATTACTGTGATGGTTCAAATTTTCGAAATTGTCCTTTATTTATGCAAAATCAGCCTTGCTTTCAACTTCAATTATATTATGATGAATTTGAAACTGTTAATCCACTAGGGTCTAAAACGGGCGGACATAAAATAGGAGCCATCTACTTAATTATTAGAAATATACCGTCTTATTTTAATTCTGCTAAACAACATATTCATTTAGTTGCATTGTTTTATGCAGGAGATGTAAAAACTTTTGGATTTAATAAAATTTTAAGTAAAATTGTTACTGATATCAAGGAATTGGAAACTGTTGGGATATTTGATGATATTTCTAAAAAATATATTAAGGGTACTTTAGTTTCTATAAGCCATGATAATCTGGGTGGTAATCAGATTTTTGGTATGGTCGAATCTTTTTCATCAAACTATTTTTGTAGAATATGTTTGGCCGAAAGGGATGCCACAAAAAATATGTGTTTACAAGACGAATCTCTAATACGTAACACTCAGCATTATGAACAACTATGTTTAAAAACGATTAATAATTCATCTTTTGGTATAAAATACAGAAGTATATTAAATGATTTACAATATTTTAAGATTTTTGAAAATTTTTCTGTTGATATAATGCATGACTTGTTAGAGGGCGTTGGACAGTTGGAAGTAAAACTACTTTTAAAATATTTTATTAAAGAAAAGTTAATAACATTAACAGAAATTAATGAACGAATAAGATGTTTTAATTTTGGATATAATGAGAAAAGCAATAAACCTAGTCCAATTAATTTAGATAAAGTGGGTAATTTAATTGGAGAAAGAGCTGCTCAAACCTGGTGCCTTTTAAGATTTTTTCCCCTCCTTTTGGGTGATATTGTTAAAAATTTATCAACAGAACAAACGAAAAAATATAAAGTTTTCACATTACTTTTACAAATAATTGATATTGTGTTTTGTCCTGTGAATACATATGGGATGATTTCAAATTTAAAGTTCTTAATTTCAGAGCATCATCGTTTGTTTCAATTAGAATATGACCATCATTTAATACCAAAACATCACTTTATGATCCATTATCCTATGATAATTTTAAATAGCGGCCCATTAATTGGACTATGGTGTATGCGATTTGAATCAAAACACGCTTATTTTAAAGATTTATGTTATAAATTAAAAAACTATAAATATATTTCCAAAACTCTTGCATTTCGCCATCAAAAATTTATGTGGTCTGAATGGCAAAATATAAATATGTCTACTGAACCTAAATATGGAAAATGCAAAAAAATGTCTACTACTAACATGAATAGGAATTATTTAAATTTAACAGAAAATTGGGTTTTGGATAATAATTTATTTATTACAAATTTTGTAACATACTTGGGATGCACATTTAAAAATAATAACTTTATTGTAAAAGATGTCAGTGATGACTCATTGCCAATTTTTGCTCAAATAAAATACATAGTAATACACAACAATCTTCCTTATGCCTTATGTGATATTTGGAAAACTGTGGAGTTTTCTGAACAATTTCATGCTTATATTATTGAAAATCTAGATATAAAATGTGTAAAGATAAATATTTGTGCACTAAAACATGTGTATGCCTACGAACTTCACCATCCCTATAATTCTCATATAAATTGCATTGTTTTGAAATACGAAATCGTACCTGTTTAAAATGGACTAAAAATTTGAAAGACTGGGACATAATATAACTACATACAATGTATATTGTATAATGTTTTAGTTTTTATATAAACATTAAATGTTATGAATTTTGTAGAAAATATTTTTTAATTAGCTGTGTTATAACTTAGTTTTTTAAATATTAAAAGGTTTCGTTTTTCGTTTTTTACGACTTACTATTTAAATTTTAATATTTAAATTATTAAATATTATTAAGCCTTAGCCTTAATAAATTTAGTTAAATTCCAATCTACTTTAAATATTTTGTAAAACGAATAGAAATTTAGTTTTGTTATGTTTTTTTGCTTATTTTATATTAAAATGAAACAATAATAATAATTATTATTGTTAATAATACTTTAGTTTTGTTGTGTTTTTTGTTTATTTTATATTAAAATAAAACAATAAGTGTAAATATTGTTTAACATGTTTTGTTTCTTTAAAATATATATTTTTGTACTTTAATATGTGTTTATATTATATTACCTTATACCAAATACCCATGTCACATATTATCACATATGTATATTTTTTGAGCAAAAAGTATAATTTGTCCTTTGTACAATTTTAATTTATAAAATTTGTTAATTATGTTAGTTGCTTATAAATATTTTTTTGCTGTTTGTTAAATTTTATTTTGATAATTTCACCAATTATTGTTGCATTTAGCAAATAAAAAAATGTTATAATTGTAAAAGTTAATAAATTTTATTTTACAAAAATAAGACTTTTAGGTACAATAATTGTACCTAATAGTCTTATTTTTATAATTATTATAACGCATTTTTTGTTTAATTAACTGCAACAATAATTGGCGACTTAACAAAATAAATTGTACAAATAGCAAACAAAATTTGTATTTTCCACCCAAAAAATTGGACAATTGACAACAAAAAAATGCTTTTATGACAAAAAAGAATGCAACTTTAACAAATTTATTTTTTAAAATACTTAAAAATAATTGTTCAAATGGCAAATAAAAGTTGCTTCCACCACAAAAAAGAATGCAACTTTAACAATTTTATTTGTTAAAACACAAAATAGGTAATTGTTGAAATGACAAATAAAGGTTGCTTTTACGACAAAAAAAGAATACAATTAAAAAAAATATTTGTTAAAATACACAAAAATAATTATTTCAATGACAAATAAATTTTGCTTAAAGAACCAAAGAAGAATGTAAATTTAACAAATTTATTTTTAAAAATACATAAAATAATTGTAAAAATAGCAAATTAGGAATTGCTTCTACGACCAAAAAAAATGCGAATTTAATAAATTTATTTGTTAAAAATTGAAAATTTATTTTATAATTTAGCAAATTTATTGCATTTATTAACAATATATATTTGTTAAATAATAACAATATAGTTTGCTTATTTTAACAAACGTAATTTAACAACTAGGGAATGCAAATTATTTTGTTAAATCAACATAAAAAATTAGTGGACCTGTGGGAGCAAAAAAAATTGCTAAAATTTTGCTAAATTTAGCAACTTATTTTTTACTGTGTATAATGTCGTAAACAGAGGTTTTTGCTTATTTAAATTGATTAAAGCGCCATCCGTTGCCTAAAATTTAAAGCAAAAACAGATTCACGGAGGATAGAATCAATTTTTGTAACACTTACATGAATGGTTATAAAAATTTTTCCTTTTAATTTTTAATAATATTTTATATTCGATTCGATTGCTTTGGATGTGTTTAATTTACTTAGTGAACTGATATTTTAAGTATGTTTTTACTACCTCAGATATTTGAAAACATATAGGTTAACTTAGAAAGAGTAACAGTCACGAAGAATAGGTTTTAGACTTTTAAAACATTGTAAAAAATAATTAATTGCGATTAAAAATCTGTAACCTGAGCTGTAATAGGTATCTACTTAATTATGAAAGATCAAAACACAATAAATGTGTAGGTCAAACTCATTTAGTTTTATTAAATAACACCATCGGAGGACTTTTCGAGAGATTCACCCATATATATTGTATATTGTCGGCATATTCAAATATAATCATGCTTTAGTTTTTAATTTTTTAATGAAAATTAAAATACTACAAATAACAAGTTAAAACTTGTTTCTTCAAAAAAGATAAAAGTTTAAAATGATATGATGGTTTTTAAAGTTGGTAGCAAGAAAGGATATAAAAAATGTTTCAGAAAACACATTGTTTGCTTTTTAGGAACGGTTCCTATGATATATCAGTCAACGTGTCTGAGAAGTAGATAGAAGGCAAAAAAGGGAGGCAAAAAATATTGAAAACTCGATTCTCTAAGCTTGAAATATTGAATTTTAAATGTGTGTGAAATTTTTTTTCTTAGGTAAATGTTATCACTGGAAATTGAGTATATATTTCGCGTGTAATTTTTGTAAAATTTAAAAGTAAAAATGTAAATTATGGATAGAATAACTAAAGCATTTTATTCGGGTTAATCTCACGAAATATCCCCCGATGTTATTACCACGTGATATTTAATAAAACTAAATGAGTTTGATCTACACTTTTATTGTGTTTTGATCTTTCATAATTAAGTAGATATTACAGCTCAGGTTCCAGATTTATAACCGCAATTAATTATTTTTTACAATGTTTTAAAAGTCTAAAACCTATCCTCCGTGACTGTTACTCTTTCTAGGTTAACCTATATGTTTTCAAATATCTGAGGTAGTAAAAGCCTACTAAAAATATCAGTTCACCAAGTAAATTAAACACATCCAAAGCAATCGAATCAAATATAACATATTATTAAAAATTAAAAGAAATAATTTTTATAATCATTTATGTAAAAATTGATTCTATCCTCCGTGAATCTGTTTTTTCTTTAAATTTTATGCCGGATGGCGCTTTAATCATTTTAAATAAGCAAAAACCTCTGTTTATGACATTATAGATGCATGTGATTCCTGAAGGTCAGTTAGAATTTATATGCAGATGAGAGTGTTGCTGTTTTATAATTCAATAGTTTAAGTAATTTGCTATTTAAAAACATATCCACTGTGAAGTGTAATATCTCAGTAAGTAGATTTTTTTATAAATATTTTATGTATGTACAATTGCATTTTTAAAACGGCTGTATTTATCTCTTGCAATATCTACCCTCTCCCTCAGTCTTTAAATAATTATTATACATTCCTGTAATATTCAAGAATACTAAAATTATGTTTGGGCAATATTTTTTACAAGTTTGTTTAAACGGAGTAGATAACTTGTTGTAGAAAGAAAATAAAATAAATAAATAAGATAACAATCATCTAAATTAAAATTTTATACAAAAATAATGGCATTAATTTGTCACCAGCGTATCTGTATAAACATCATAACATTTATTTGGGAAAGGTAAGCAAACAAACCATATGATATCAGTCAACACGTCAGGGTGCAATTGTATATAAAGCAAAAAGAAATAGAAAAGCATTTATTATTTCTTTCTTTTAACACGATATATTATTATTTGTTCATCTGTTGATTCTCATACGTTTCTATCCATGAGCGTTTTTCTGCAATCTAAAATTTATATCAAGAGGAATTTTATTAATAATAATCGACACCAGTCAGGTGATGCTTTTTACATCCTAGTATGTAAACAAGTTGATAATTGCTGAGCCTTTTCAGCCTTATGACATAAATAACCATTTTATTATTTATTTTAGGATTAGGATCCTACCCTCGTAAAAACTGTAAATGTATGAGTCCCTTGGCAATGTTTTTATTCATATTTATGTTAGGTGTTGGGTATATTTACATTGTGAATTAAATTTGCATATTTAAAAGTACAAATTTCCCGAAAATCCAAAGGATTTAATAAAATTTATTAGAATAAAAGGTAATTAAGAGTTAAATAAAAAGTAAAATTGTAGCAATAAATCAAGGGTTCTTTAATTTGCCTTAAAACCATTACAGTTTTAATATCAACTTTTTTCGCAGAGAAATTGGGTTAATTTTTTTGCCACATTCATGAATTCAGATCCAGATAAAACCAAAGTAATTAAGTAGATTATTATCCCCTATTAAGTTAAATTAATGCATTCTAATTAGTTATAATCAGCGAACTTTTATAATCAAACTTACTTTTTATTATTCTGTATACAGGGTGTCTACAACTAGAGGCGTTTAGAATAATTTTTTTTTAAATAACTCTTCTTTGCGAAGGGGTAAAACAAAACTTGGTGTTACGTAACAGAAGTACTTTGTGACCTCACTTCGATGCAGTGATGCCAGATTGGGCGCTTTATAGCAAATTGGGAGATTTTAAGATATAATTTGCGATTTAAAAAAAATGGCCACAAATTAGTTGATTTTGACTTTGCGAATGTAAAAATTATTACGACCAATTGTGTAAATTTTTTTAACTTACTAGGCAGTAAAAAATCCGTTGGACGAATAAAAAAATTTGATATCTTTTAGAACTATCTAACCCCACTTTCTACTTTTATAGTAACATATGTAAATGGGCGAATCTCACGAAATGTCCCCCGATGGTGTTACCCTGTGATATTTAATAAAACTAAATGAGTTTCACCTACACTTTAATTGTGTTTTGATCTTTCATAATTAAGTGGATATTACAGCTCAGGTTCCAGATTTTTAACCGCAATTAATTATTTTTTACAATGTTTTAAAAGTCTAAAACCTATCATCCGTGACTGTTACTCTTTCTTGGTTAACCCATATGGGTTAACATATATATGTTTTCAAATATCTGAGGTAGTGAAAGCATACTAAAAATATCAGTTCACTAAGTAAATTAAACTCATCAAAATTAATCGAATCAAATATAAAATATTATTAAAAATTAAAAGAAATAGTTTTTATAACCATTTATGTAGGTGCTACAAAAATTGATTCTATCCTCCGTGAATCTGTTTTTGTTTTAAATTTTATGCAACGGATGGCGCTTTAATCATTTTAAATAAGCAAAAACCTCTGTTTACGACTTTATATATATATATATATATATATAGATGCATATGATATATATATATATATATATATATATATATATATATATAGATGCATATGATTCCTGAAGGTCAGTTAGAATTTATATGCAGATAAGAGTGTTGCTGTTTTTTAATTCAAAAGTTTAAGTTCAATAATTTGCTATTTAAAAACCTATCCACCGTGAAGTGTAATATCTCAGTAAGTAGATTTTATTTATAATTATTTTATGTATGTACAATTGGATTTTTAAAAAATATGAAGTTGTCAAAAGATACAATAACTTATTTCAAATATACGAAGGGATGTTTAAAAAAAACATACGAAATCCTAACCTCCGTGAAGCTATCTTCCGTGAAGCTCTAATATTCAAAATGTATGATTTCTTAAAATCATTGCATAAGTGCAGAACCACTTATGTTATGTTATTACTAGACCTGGTGGCTTCCCAAAAACACCATTCTACACTAACAGTGAAACAACCAAAATTAATCATTTTCACTTGGGGGACATCTCAATATATTCACCCAAATAACTATTATTTAAAACCGGATAATAAATGTTTTGGGTAATTAAAAATTGCACAATAAAATTAATGTGTCGGTTTATTGGACTGACCAAATTAAAAACTATTTCCACCTTTAAAACGCCCTTTATCGTACATGTTTCCATGACACTAAGTGACCTTTTAAATACTTTTTGACAAGTTGTGGCTTTATGGCGCTTTAGTCACGGGCTGAAGTTAGCAACAGGTTTTTAGTCACGGGCTTAAGTTAGTTTTAAGTTAGTTGACAGTTGTCAAATGTCATACAATCGTTAAAATAAAATACCTTTCTTGTAAAATAATACTAAATGTGAAAATTATTTTATTATCTCAATACAAAAATACAAAAGTATTAAATAGTTTCCAAACGCCAATATTTGAAAAGTTTATATAAACATTGTACTGACCTTTTAATTTCGCCGGCAGTAAACTATAACTTAAATTCGGGCACGGACTCCACTGTAAAGTGCTCATAAAACATTTTCTTTACTTTCACTGTGAAAAACTGACAATTTTCAAGAAATACATCTCGATTTATAACCTTTATAATCTGTGTTTATAAAATATGAAAATTTGACATTTGACGGTGACACACAGATTCCCCTATTGTTTCATAGATGGCGCTCTATACAAATAACAATAAGTATTTGTCGTAGAAAAATTATAGTATGCACCTCGTTTATAAACTTTTCTATACACTCATTAATTAAATTCGTGTATAAAATGTTGTTTTTCAAACTTGATACTTAATATACTATTATTTAGTGTATTATATATTACATTTTGCATCTGCTTAGCCATTTTAGACACCTGCCAAAAAGGTTAAAAAATGACAGGTGTCAAAAATTCTATGCCACTGCATTAACTATACGCTCTAAAACTTTCTAAAGAAAATAATATATTATTTTTTACAGGGTGCTTTACGTTCGTGGTTCATTAAAAGTTTTTGGGGAACAGCAAAACATATTGATTTAAAATTTTTAAAGCGTTTATAATCCAATTAAGTCTTTGTTATTTGAAATAGTACACCTATATATTTTTACATTTATTTAAAGCTTGTTTTAAAAAAGGTTTTTTTATTTTTTTACATTTTTACAGGAATTCGAATAACAAAAATTCTTGTTTTAAATTTCACAATGAATTGAATTTATTTATTTATTTAGTAAAATTATTGGCCAATTTAAAGTTATTCACATAATAAATTGCATTTTATTAACAAAATCCATTCATTTTACATACATATATTTACATATATAAAAAATAAATGCAATAAACGCCAAGCCCAATGTAAATATGCATACTAATTTTAATATTTATTCAATATTTTTATCATAAAGGCATCATTTGCAAAAACCAAACCCAAAATACGATTTTATATTATAATTTTTTTATTTTATTTAAACATTTTGATAACACATATAACTTTTATATCTTTACTTCATTTACACTGACATTTTAAAACAGATTCTTAACCCCAATTTTGTTTACACTATTTTTGTATATATGTATGTCGATCTATATAATATTTAAATTAATGAGTAATAATGTCGTAGAAAAAGTTTAGTAAGCAACTTGTTGATAAACTTTTTCGGACCTTCACTCGAGACTAATTTATTATCTACGACGAACACAGAGAAGAATTTAAAGCCAATTTTATATGCAGACGATTTTAAAATTTTTAAAATTCTTACACTGGAAATGTTAAAGGTACAAAAAGTGACTGTTTTATTTATTGGAATTCC